TAAGTGGGTGTTTGGCTCTGCAGCAACTGTTTTTTTTTTCAAATTTAATGACATAATGTTTGATTATAAGTTGTGGTTGTATTTTTACATGTGGGACCATAAAAAATGAGATGAAATTGTAGGTTCAGTTGAATTTTTCCGTACTTCATACTATTGTTGTTTTGCATAATGGAGAGAAACTCTCCACTGTTTACTCAATTAAGTGAACAGTGGAGAGTGACAAAAACTCTCCTGTTCGCTTAATTAAATGGACAGTGGAGTATTTCTTCATTGTTGCACCGGTTCGGCTTGATTTAAAATTAAATATATTAAATCGGGTTTGATAAAAGAAATTAATTTATATTTTTTTTATTGTGTTTTATTTAAAAAATTAAAAAAAAATGATTTGATGATATAGTATTTGTAAAATTTAATTATAATCCTAATTTTATTTTTGCGAAGTCTGACCTAGTTAAAAAAATTTAATTTTAATTTTAATTTTTAATTGTGTTTTATTAAAAAAATTAGAAGAAAATAACTTGATGACGTAGCATTTATAAAATTTGATCACAACTTCAATTTTGTTTGTGATAATATCTTATCTGATATTGTTATGTACTTAAGAAATTATAAAAAATTCAGTTTTTGTTGAATATATTTCATACGTTATGAAATTGTATATAATTTAATGGAACGATAAAAAATCTTTAATATCAATATTATTTATTTTATTATGTAATAATAATAGTTAAATCTATAATATTTAAATTAAAAATTATTAATATTAATAAATATTTTTTAATTATTTTATAATTTTAATTTAGAAAACATTCTTCTAATTAAATACATTAAATTATTTTTTGTTAAACTTTAATTTTAATTACAATTTTAATTAAATATATATTTTTTAATCAATCTCAACTAAAAATATTTTTTATAAAAATATTTTTTTTAAAATTATAATTATAATAACTACTACAATACTAAATACAGTTCGTGGAAGAAAGAACCATGGCTATGGCTTATTTCATTTCTCTGGCTCCATCAGTTCTGTCCCGTGCACTTTATTGACATGGGAATAAATCCAAACAAACCCCAACTCTAAATTAATGTCCAAATATAATACCGGTGGAGTTATAAGTTTTATTTAGAAACAAAATAACTCCCCTTTTCCCATGCGTGTTCATTTGGCATAGAACTCCTACTTTTACTTTTTTTAGGGAGTGTTTGTTTATATTCTTCTTCTACTCTGTACTTTTTAAATTGCATTTTAAAACTAAAAGCACCATTTTAAATGTTTTTTATATCTGAAAAATTGTTTGAAACCCATAAAAAAACTAAATAAATGGGCTCTTAGTAAGCTTAATATACTTGGTCAATAAGATAAGATCTTCTAGCATGACTTTGGTGAGTTTTTTATTAATTAAATTATTATTTAAAGCTAAACCATACTAATGTAATATACAATACAAAGCACCACATTACCAAACAATATTTTAAAATAAAATAAAATAAAATAAAAATTTAATCTTAATATATAAAAACTAACACCATAAAATTATTAATATTAAAAATATATTTATTTAAGAGATGCGTCACGCAACACATCTCTTAAAAAGTATAAAATTCATATTTTTTTATAAGTTGCTTCGTGCCTCAGAATCAAATACATTTTAAAAAATAAAAATAATTTTTTTAAAATATAAAATTTATATTTTTGTTTTACAAGGTATGCCATGCCTTCCACACAAAACATTCTTAAAAAAACCCTTGTCACGCTTAACTAGGTCCTGGGAACACAATGTCAGCATATGATCGATCTCCGTAGAACCACAATCCTCATGTTCGTTAATCCCTAAGCTTGCTTGAATCTTGAAGTGTTTCACATGCTAAGGCATATTACTTATCAAATTATGGATAAAATTTGTAGCATGCTTGAATTGTGATAGTGGTTTTAAAATATATATTTTTATTTTAAAATATATTAAAATAAAATTATTTATTTAAAAAAAATTATTTTTAGCATCAGTATATTAAAATAATTTAAAAATATATAAATTTTTATTTTAAATAAAAAATTAAACGGATTACACCGTTTTTTCAAACAAACTCATATACAAGCACAACACTCTTCTTCAAAAACTCTCTACAAAACAACCATGGTCACCATCTTGCTCGCACTCAGACAACAAATACCACCACCGGAGAGGGAGAAGAGATCATGGCAGTCTTGAACGTCAATTTCATGATGTCGGCTGTTTTTTCCGGTAACAAAGTAGCCCTGGGCCAAGAATGCCATGGTGACTTGCAGGGCTTGATAACTCTGTGCCAATGAAGCATGTTCAAAGACTAGGGCCACCGATGGACCCATCTCCGGGGTGTTGCAATGGACTCAAGACTGTTGATGTCCCTTGTGTGTGCAAATACCACTTGCCCACGGCGTCAAATATGGAAGTGTATATATATATAATTAATTAATTGAAATGCATGGAAACTCACTAATACATTTATTATTACTAGAAAAATTATATTATTTTTTTCTCTGGATATTTATAAAAATTTAACACACGAATAGGATTCATGTGAACCAAAATTATTAAGATCTTATTTTATTATTGTTTTATTTATGAATAGGATTCACGTGAATCAAAATTATTCAAGATCTTATTTTATTAATGTTTATTTATCCGCGAATGAATTCGTTCAACTCATTTTTAAAAGTAGTTCTTGTAAGTTTATATATTTGAAAGTTCATTTGAAATTATTTTTAAATATTTTTTAGAATTTTATTTAATATAAAAAATATTAAATTAATATTTGTTGTAATATAATAATATTTAAAATATAAAAAAACATTTTTTTTAATATATCTTAAAAATAATTTTCACCGTAATTTTAGACATGGTCACTTAATGTGACATAATGTAAACATTTAATATTATTTAAGAATATAGTTTTGATTATTTTTAAAGTATTTTTTTATATTAAAATATATTAAAATAATTTTTAATTTTTAATAAATTATTTTTAAAATAAAAAATAAAAAATAAAAAAATATAATTAATTTTTTAAAAAAAATTCAAAATATAAATTAACCTGCATTTTCAAAAATCTCTCATGCTTTAAAAAGATTTTTAACCCTGTAATGGAGAAGGGCAATTTTGCCAACACAGTGACACACCATACCATTTTTGGCCCCCCATCACAATCATCTGTCCCTTTCCACCACCTTTTACCTGATAAACTTCAAACTTTAAAAACACGAAAATAAACAAAAATATCTCTCCAATAGCCTCAAATCAACCGTCCGATGCCCACCAATCACTCTCCACCGTCGATTCTGTTCCCCATCGAAGATTCTAGTATCATCCTTTATCCACCCCGACTCCCACCACGTGTCAGTTTTACTCACTGCTTTATCCTTTAAAACCTTAGGTTCGGAAAACCAACCAGGCTCGGACTATATGTTTTCCTCCCAGTCCAGATTCTTCCTGAATCCATTAACAGTAATAACTTCCACTAGATTTTCTCAGTAAACCTGTCTGATCGCCACTGCAGAAATTTAAGCCCTTTTTGGATCGAAAGGTAAAGCAATGGCAATGTATATCTTGAGGGTTTTTTTCTTTTTTTGAATTGGTGATGAAAAGCTTTAAAGTTTGTTGCTCTGTTGTTTTTGTGATGATATTGATGGATTCTTTGTTCTGGAGTTTGGATTTTTGTTGTTTTTTCTTGTCTCTGCCTGTTTTTTTTTTTTTTTTTTTCCTTTTTTTTTTTTTTTGTTGTGATGTGGGATGATTTGTGGGATGTTTTGTGGTTTTATGGGGTCTAGGATTCATGATCTTTGATTCTTTGTTAAAAGGGTGTTTGGATTCGATTGGAGAAAACCGGTTAGGTTTGATGATAAAGATTGACTCTTGATTGTTGCTGTTTCAGGGAAATTGACTATTGTTGTGGTTGGATTGATTGAATAAAGGGGGTGAAATGGCTACTTTGATTTCTGGAAGAACCACATTAAATCCTAATGCACCTCTCTTTATCCCTAATATGTATCGACAAGTGGAGGATTTCTCACCGGAATGGTGGGAACTTGTGAAGACTTCGACTTGGTTCAGGGATTTTTGGTTGAGTCAACATCCAGAGGAGAGTTTTGATGGCAGTGCTGGTGCTGATGATGATCATCTTACAGATTTGCTGCCGGAGGATTTGGATGTTGGCGTGGAGGAGGAGTTTCCTAATTTGGAAGCGCAGTTTGAGGAGATGGTCAAGTTGGCTGAAGCTGAAGAGAAAACTGACTCTAGCGCTGCCGATCCCAAAGTTGAAAGGAAGCCTCTAAATGGTATTGTGTTTGTTTAAAATCTTTTCTTGTCAGAGTTGGATTGAATTCTAATAGCATTCAATGTTCGTAGGCACGAATCCAATTAACTGAGAAATGTGATCAGAAGATTGAAATTCTTTCACTGAAGTCAATGGATCTTTGTTTTTGGTAGTTCAACTTCTTAACTGCAGTGGATCGATTAATATCTTAAGCTGTATATCATTCAGAGTACATATGCAATGGCATTCAGGAAGGATAATCATTTTTTGTGTGAACAGGTCTTATAATGGATGTGAAAATTTTGCTCAAGGACATTAACATTCCAAAATCTACCCAGGAAAGAAGTCCCAGATCTCCAAGAACCCTTGCAAAGTACCAAATGAAGCCACCACACTGCGCTGTTGCCAAGCGCACAGCGCTGTACATTCACCAGCCTCGCTAAAGGAAATGCTGGATAGTTTCAAGGTTGCATTTGTTGCAGCGTCGCTAACATTAAGTAGAGTCAGTAGACGTGCTTTTAGCTGTCTTTGTACATGCAGGGTGGTACTTTTTTTCGTGTCTTTCCTTGTGCAAGTTCATGTCTAGCTTTCAATGTAAAGTTTGAATGGAACATGTTTAAAAAGGAATAAAATCAGGAGTGCCTTTTGTGAGTATCAATGAGTGGGTGTTTTTGGGTTGCATGTTGATGTTTTTTTACGAGTAAAAAGGAATAAAATCAGGAGTGCCTTTTGTGAGTATCAATGAGTGGGTGTTTTTGGGTTACTTGTTGATGTTTTTTTACGAGTTTTTGGATGGTTTAGATGATTTTGGATGATCTTAATTATTTAATGTAATATATATATATATATATATATATATTTCAATTAGAATGTTTTTTTTTTACCGTGATTTTGTTCATCAAGGGGGGAATACCTTGTCTGATTTGGGATCCCTGAATTGATTTTCACATGGACGGGAGCAAAGGTAAAGAGAAGGTAGGGGTAGGCATCCTTTTGGATTGGATTAAAAATATCTAATTAAATGGATTTTCTCGAAGTTTTATTTGTTGAGAGAGAGCAGGAGAACAATTGAAGAAAATTTATAGTGCCTGACCTGTACCCAATGAGTGAAATACATGGCGTTGTGATTTTATTGGACCTGTGGGTGGCATGTCTATGACTAGAATGGGAGTAGAATATGGAAGTACATGTGGTAGCATTCCAGGTTGAGGTTACTGTTGCTGTGACATATTGACTGTTCTCTTATTGAGTTTTGAAAGTTCGATTGGTTTTACTGCGCAAATGGAATTGGGTTATGGGATTGGTAACCAATCGCTAGTTTCATGTATTTGAAAGGATTGCTTTTAGTGGCACACTAACTGTTATTGAGTTTATGCTGCTGGAGTTTATGTTCGTTCGTATGTTGTTTTGGTTTAGCTAGATTGGCTCTGCTGTTGGGGGGACACCAAGTGAATTCTATGGATTCAACCATGGTATCTACTGTTCTTTTCATATTTCCTTTCCTAATTGATGAAGAGTGTTTTAATGTACTCGATATGCATTTCATTCATGAGGCTACAACCTAGTAGTTGTAGATGCAAAAACCCTTAAGATAAGCATATACTTTGTCTCGAGAATGCTGAGAAATTATTAACCATCCTCAAGGTAGTGCTCCCTCATTACCTACATTTTGGATCTTCTTGTACTAGCTGTTATTGGTCTTGCAGCAATGTTACAGGGAGCACTTGACCGGGTATGGTGTGGTGGATGATCTTTCTAGGATGCCTACAAAAAAAGGACCCTTGAACAATCATGGCTTGAGGCAATTCTGTTATGCTTTGATTCTCAAACCTTGAAAACACTGCCAGAAAAATAGAAGGGACAGTCAGCAAGGAATCCATTTCTGAGTTCATGGCTCTCTCTCAATGCTCGATCACTTAAATATGTTTTCCATGTATGCAGAAACTTCTTTAAGACTGTCTTCTGTCCAATATACTTTTCTTATTGGACAGTTTTTACTGATTTACTGATCAAAATCTATTTGCATATGCAGACACCACCTGTAATAGTATTCTCTTCAGCTTGTGCAGGAGTGGCAGGTCAGCAATACTATCCTTAAATTTTCTTGTGAGAATCACCATGATTTTACTGGCATCTAACTACAGGAATTTCATAATGGACATGGTATTTTATATCCGTGAAAACTATGGGGTTTGTTCTGTAAATGGCCATGGCTATGAGAAATATCCTACTGATATAGATGTGCGATGACTTCCAAAGGAGGAAAGAGGATGTCCCCTTCTGGGACTCTGTTCCTCAGGATTTCCTTGCGTATCTACGAACTTAATCACTAGAAACCAGTAGCGACTAGCTAGTAGGGAATGATTCTGTCTGTCTTTTGAGGCAGCAGTCAATCCTGGTGACCTGCATGTTGATTGCTGCCTAATGCATGTTTCAAATTTCAACCTATCCTTAATCTGTACTCGATAGCAGCTGGCCTTCATTTCCATGGACATTGGAGGAATTAGCTCCATTTCTTGAGATACAGTTATGATAACTGGTCCTGGAGCCGTTCTTTGTTAAAAGTAAAACTTCTAACTGGTCCTGGAGCCGTTCTTTGTTAAAAGTAAAACTTCTCTCATTGCTCTGCGACAATGTGCATCTGTGTATCGGTGGCTGCGCAAGCACATCTACCTTTATCACGTCTGATTATTCTGACCAGGCATTTTGTTAGTGGATTGCATGGTGGTTTAGTGTTTATTTTGACTTATTATTCAATGTCTATCAATGCTGTAGGATTAAACTGTAAGGACCTTTTCCAAAGGGCTGATATCAGTTGCTTGCTATGGATTCTGGATTCTGTTAGTTTTTGGCTACAGTGCCTTTTTGAGACTCCTAACATTGGCCCACCTGGTTAAAATTCAAATTCTAGACTTGATCCGATCAAATCTCAATCCTTAATTAATTATTTTTCTTTTGAATTTTTCTATCAAAAAAAAATTGCCTTGATTATTTTTTTTAAAAATCTTTTCTGAGGTTTCCTCAATGATTTGGTCCTGCCATGAATTAATTTTTGACCTAGGTGGAAGAAACTTGAGACGATGTGTGGAAGAGATAATATACTTGGGTTTCCCAGTTGACGCTACTAGTCTGGTTTGGGCGTCCCGGAGGCCTTCTCTAACTCTAATTTTATGGATTAAATGTTGTGATGATTAATAATGCATATATTCTCAAGGAGGATATCATGAAGATTCTATATATGATATGACCATCTTAATACTGAAGTTATTAAACTTATCTCGGTTGATATAGATTAATTAAAACAAAATAATTTTAATCAGTGATGTTGATCCTCGGATTAAATGTTGTGATGGTTAATGATGCATATATTCCGCAGGACAATATTAATATCGTGAAAATTCTATGATGTCACCGACTTGATATTTAAACTATTAACCTTAGCTTATCTCATTACTAAGTGGATTGAGAGGTTTAATCTGGATCAATTAAAATAAATTTATTTTATTTTATTTTTTTAAAATAAAATAAATATTATTGTTTTGAAAAAAATAAAAAAATCAAATCTGACATGATCATCTATATTTAATGATATTTTTTGAAATTAGAAACACCAATTTAGGGCTTGGCTTTTTAAATAGCATAATTATTGGTAATAAAATCTAGAAACCCAGTTTGGTGGTAACTACTGGTTGGTGAGTGTTAGCATGACTGCATGAGGTTATATATATATATATACATAGAACTTCCTTGAAAACTTGGCTGTGTATAGCTTGGCTGTGTGTATAGCTTCTATCAGGTGATTAAACTTTTCCGGTTTAAAACCCGAATTAATTAAATTTTAAGTTTCAAGTTTTTTGGATTAATATGTTCAGACAATGACAGATTAATTTTTGTATTAATTATTACCAATCTTGACGTTGGATCTTCCACATGGTTCCTTGATACCCAAGGAGTCCAAGCTTGCATGCCTTGTTAAATATTTAACCAGCATACCAAACCCGACCAGCCATACTTGCTACAGGAAGGAATATCGAAACAAATATATATATTTGCTTTCAGACAACGTTCTAGCAACACATGGAACAGAAAGCTTGTTTAACAATGGCCATAGCAACATATTCTACCGAATCAAAGCATAAAAAAACCCCTCTTTCTCCCTGGTTGAAACATGTGTCACTGTGTAACCATTGTCGTCGTTTGGACGGCTTATGCCACAGCTTTGCAGCTCTCGCATGCCTTGAAAGCAAACCCTTTTTTATTTGTTAAAATCAATTAATTTATGCATGCTAGCAGCAGGGAGGGAGGGGGTGTCTACTCATTTTCTCCCTTTTACCATGTATCAACCCTAGTGAATCATGCACGCATGAAAAGAGGTCTCTATTTAATTTTGAAAAATAACTTAACTTGTTTGACTTTTAATTTGTTTTCTAATTATTACAAAGAAATCAAGGTTTTTAAAAATTATCAGAAATTTATATAATTATTAATTTTAAAATTTATAAAATTAATTAAGAAACACGCCGCTGTCATAATCCAATCTTCATGCTAATAATAATAAAAGGCATTCACTGAGTTTATTTTCATGTTATACTGTTTTATCCACTTGGTTTCATTTTCATGTTAATAATAATAAAAAAAAAGGTATCCACTTAGTTTCATTTTCATGTTAATAATAATAAAAAAAAAGGTATCCACTTAGTTTCATTTTCATGTTATACTGTTTTTTTTTTTGTTTTTTTTAATTTTATCTAAAACGATCGGTATGGTTTTCGCGACTTTTCAAGAAATCCAAAGTCTCGGACAACTCGCCATGATTTTCCGAGCAACTTCTTATTGATGGGACACAGACACATGCATCCATTGGAGAGGAGTTTAGGAGTAAAATAATGTTGAAAGAGACATGTGGTCTTGTTTTACATTTCCAAGATAATGTGCTAGTGACAGACCACTTTTAGCTTGGAAGTAACCAAAAGATTAGATGCAATAAACAAGCTTAATTAGTGAATTATTAATCAAAAAATTTGTTATAGAGGCTGGTGGTTTCCCTGTGATTAATTGAACTCAGAGGATTTAGGTGGCTTTTAGCATATCCCTCTCTCTCGATGATTAATTCTTTGTATCAAGAAACTGTAATGTGATTGGAATGAATCGTGTGATGTAATGACGATTATGAGTGCTCCTCTGGATCTTTAAACTTAGACCAGCATGCACCACAGGTAGCGATCAAGTGATAAGGAATTGTAATTAAGGGGTTTGCTTTCTCTGTAATCTCAGGTTCGAGTCTTTGGTTGCTCGTATGATAGCCACTGGAGGCTTACATGTTCGTTAATTTTAGGACCTGTGGGATTAGTCGTGGTGCACGCAAGCTGGTCTGGACACCCATATTAATCTAAAAAAAAAAAAATGTTCATGAGAGGTTGCCAACATAATTGTTAAACATGGTTTACAGGAATAAATCATCTTAAAGTATGGTTCAAGATGGTTTTTAAGTTAAAATAGATAAGATATTAGTTTAATAAAATTCAATTAATCAAATAAAATTAACATATAATTACTCAAGAAAACATCATCAAATTAATATCAAGGTTTTCAAGGAAGGTTGTGTGATGACAGAAAAACCTAAAATCCAGACAGCAAATTTAGAGTTGGAGTTATAATATGTATATTTTATAAAAATTTAGAACAATTAGGATTTTACTTATTTATCTTGACTTATAAAAAACATTTTTGAAGAGGTAGGATTTTCTTGAATTAAAAAAAAAAGGTTAATATCAAGAGTTTTTTTTTTAAATATAAATAAAAACACATCATTTTAATTTCTGAATTAAATTAATAACTTGTAAATTGACTCAAAGATCCAACAATCTAAATTTTTTTTGTCTCAATCCTTGAATCAACTATAAAACTTATGGTTTTAGGAGTTATCTAAAACAAAAAAAAAAGATTATAATCAGGCTATGAAAATTATGGTTCTAGGAGTTATCTAGGACAAAAGAGAATAAAAAAAAAATAAAGAATACCATTCTTTTTTTCCTTATTAGAAGAATATGAGGCAGCTCTTTGATGCACAAAACAAAGACTTAGTGTTCGGACTACGAGGAAGAATGTCGGTATTACTATGTTTCTGGCAGAAGCAGCAAGGCGGTATGGTCTTGGGGCTTCAGTTCGTTTATATATAATTGTTTTAGATTATTTTGATATTAAATAAATAAAAAAAATTATTATTTTAATATATATATTTTTTAAAATATTTTAAAATAATAATAATTTCTAAAGACCGTAAACTAATTACGGCACAAATGACTACAGCTTAAATTTGGACTTTATACTTCCAATTAAAGTTTCTTTTACCCTTATATTTGGGCAAATAGCTTTGTATTCAATCTAGCTATATTTTCTTTCTTTTATTTACCTTTTCCTTTCTAATCATAAAAATTCGAGGAGCATTGAATAATGAACCCACCATGGAAGACAAGAATCTCTCTGGTTGACCATCAATAAAGAATAGTCTCAAAACTTAACCAGGGAGTTCACAAGTACAATCAGAAATTTCCCAGAAAAAAACAGAAATTTACCAACTTGCTTGTAAGAAAATGATCGAACCCGATGAAGAAATAAAATAATTTACTATAGATTGGTTGAGAATGATTCTAATCTAGTTCATGGTGTCTTAAAAATAGAAGATGTTCTATTGGATCCCAGTTCGATAATGGTCAAGGTGACATGCTTTCCTGTATTATGAGCACCAGCCTCCGTATAAAATCAACTTTCTCCAACAAATTTCCTTGGAGTCCTTGTATATGTATTCTTTTCTTTTTATTTATTTATTGTCCAATTGCGAAGAAGAGTTGAACACAAGGGTTTGTCTCTCGTGAATACAGAGATCCCACAGCATTGCCATGATTGCTAAAAAAAACCCTGACATCTCAATCCACCATTAAATAAGGAGTAAAAAAAACAGAGGGCCCTGGGGCCTTAACTTACTTTTCACGATCAAACTAACATTTTCAAAGTAGCCGTTGCACCTCCTCCTTATACCATTTAAATACTCTTTCTCGCCAAATACTTTTGCTTTCCATCGAGAAATCCGTGCCCCTCAACGCTCCTCTCTCTCTATCTCTCTCAAAAGACAAAGAAACGCCCTTTTTCAGACCAAGAAACAAGATTCTAGACTGGTTGTCATTTATGGTCAGTGCTCCAATGGATCTTTTTGTGTCAGAAATCACCACTCCTTCAACCCCATTACTGTTTGCAGCAGCAACAAGTACTATTGGCATAAGTACTAGTAGCAGCAGCAGTATTTGCAGCAGTGAAGATAGCCCAGCGACATCTTTTCGCTTTGAGCTACAAGATGTGGAATGTCGTAGTTATCCAAGCAAATCTTTATCTGGGGCTTACTCATATAGGCCCCTGGCTGTTTTATCAGGTCATATTGGGTCAGTTTCTTGCTTGGCTTTATGTGGGGAGTTTATTTTGAGTGCTTCTCAGGGCAAGGATATTATAGTTTGGCAACAGCCTGATTTGAGGTTGTTTACAAAGTTCGGTCAAGGTGATGGCTCTGTGAAGGCATTAGTGACTGTTGGTAGTAAGGTTTTTACTGCCCATCAAGATAGTAGAATTAGGGTGTGGAAGGTGTCAAGAAGGTCTGAAAATGTGTTTAGGCTTGTTGATACACTGCCTACTACAAAGGATTATTTAGGGAAGTTCATGAAGCAAAGTAATTATGTGCAAACTAGGAGGCATCATAAGAAGTTATGGATTGAACATGCCGATAGTATTTCTTGTCTAACTGTTTATAATGGGTTGATTTATTCTGGTTCTTGGGATAAGACTCTTAAGGTTTGGAGGATATCAGATTTGAAGTGTTTGGAGTCAATTAAGGCTCATGATGATGCTATAAATGGATTGGTGGCCTGTAAAGGGATAGTTTATTCAGCATCTGCAGATGGGAAAATTAAGGCTTGGGGGGAAGAGGGGAAGAGGTCACATTCTTTGAAGGGGATTTTGGAAGGTCATAAAGATGTTTCACTTAATTCAGTGATTATTTCAGACGATGGAAAGTGGGTCTATGGAGGAGCATCAGATGGGTTTGTGATGGGGTGGGAAGGGAGCTACGATTTTTTGAGTTGGAAATTGGTGTCCGAGACAAAAGCACATCAAATGGCTGTTTTGTGCCTGTGTTTAACGGGGGAGTTTTTGTTTAGTGGATCTGCTGATAAGAGTATTTGTATATGGAAGAGAGAGGCTTTTGGTAAGCTTTCTAAAGTTGGGGTCATAAATGGTCATGAAGGGCCTGTCAAGTGTCTACAAGCATCACCTAATAATGTTGGCAGCGGGTTCTTGCTTTACAGTGGTGGCTTTGACAAAAGCTTAAGGGTCTGGTGGGTTCCCAAGCAATCTACGGCACAGAATACAGAGGAAAAATCCATCAGCTTGTGTTCGTAAGATTTTCAAGGTCAAGTCTTGAAGCACTGATTCCCAGTATTTTTTTCATGTGTTTGCAGTGCTTCTAAATTGTTCTTATAGTTGTTGGTTGATATTCAAGCTTAGGGAAAATTGAAACCTTAGAGGATCAGTTAAAAGATTTTTTTTTCCTTTTTTTTTTTCCAGATTTTGATTTCTTGTTATGTTGTTCTAAGGCTTAAAAAGTCTATGGGATATGTTAAGAGTGGTCTGAATTAATCATTTTTTTATCTTCTTTTTTCCTTTGAATGGTGTCTTATACAGGTTTTACATTCGATCAAATTGTAATTAGTTTGTTGAAGGAATCAATCAATGAAATAATAAATATTTATTTTGTCTTTTACATGATTGATTTGGATGATTTCAGAGTTTTAGTATAGTTAAAAATTCCTGACTTGGAATCTGTGTTTTGCCAAGGACAAATACCACAGAACATGGTTTTGTTACACATTACCTGACATTGCTACCCAATCAACACAGGAAATTAACAATAAAATATGTTCTCAAGCTTATCAGAACCTTTACCAACTAAGAGTTTGGTTTAGATAAGCCAATGATCCATTGCCTTAATGGTGTAGTTTCCTTGGTATTTTGTATTTACTTTATCCTGTTTTCTTTTCATCCTTGATATATGATTGATGGGAATGATCACTTTTCCTGATCTGTATTAACATTTCCTTCTGAAAGCCGAGAACGGAGAAGACTAATCTTCATTGTTTAGGCATCGCTTGCTGTTGTTACTAATTTTAACGGTTCAGTTGCCTCTTGTCATTGTGGTTTTCTTGATCTTCTGCAGCCTGCATTGTAAGGCTTTTTTGTGCGGCAACGCTGGCAAACTACACTAACAAATTATCTAAAGCACTTTACAGTATTAACAACGATAATCTTGCAACACTAGTGTATCATGCTTTTGTCTAACAGGCTGGCTGTCCATGCTCTCCCTTTTCCCATTTTTTATTCTCCACTGAAAGAAACGGAGTCTAACAAGAGGGTTCAAAAATATTGCAGATAGAAACAAGGTTGGACAGCTGAAATTTTCAAGAGTGATGCTAGCACATTGATTTGGCATGGTTCTATCCTTTAGACTGATACGCCATCTTCTTGCTTAGCATTTTCTTATAACGCTAAAACATCAGACGATACAAATTAGATTTGAGTTATTTGATTTTTTTGAGTAGCTAGGGCAGTTTTTCTTCTGTCAGCAATTAAGATTCCACAGTGGAATCTACTCCTTGGAAATGGGAAGAAATTTCCGTTTTGTTTTCTTCAAGTTTGTTTTGCTAGGAGATGCAAGTCAGAGAAAAAAACTGAAACCAGTCCCTTTCTCTTCTTTTTTATCCCCTGGCATTTGTTTTCTGTCTCGGGATAAAGGAAGGGAGATACTTGGAACAAAAGTTACATGTCTTTTCTGCTTTTTTATTTTAGAATGACAAAAACTCACTTCAAAACCTTTTCTTAGACAAATTTACTTTTATATCTCTGTCTGTGTCATTTCAAGTTTCAACTAAACATGTTTCTATTCTTATATATATGTCTCTTTTGTTTTAAGACACTGACCAAACATAACCCGTAGTTTTCACTGTAGAATTATATCAAAGAACCTATATTTCACAAGAACCTGCTCCAACAAGTCTCAAGCAATAAAGTAGGTTTTGGTGGTCAATTGTCGGTCAGGATATAAAATATTTTAGCCGTTTCCAATTCATCTTCGGACCAGAAAATGCCCCTAACAGTAGAAATTAAGGGCAGGATGTTAACCCTTCTTAAAGCAACCATTCAGCTTGTTTAACCCGCAATCAATTTATCAATGTTCTGTACACAACAACCAGTCTAGCTTTAGCTACACTGCTTTATCTCTTGCATTGTAGCTCAAACTGAGACAATTGATACCGTAATGGACCACAAAGGTAGAGAAAAAACTATAAAAGAGAAAGGAATATTTAAAACAAATCTATTGATTCATGTGAAAGGAAGGAAGATACAAACTAAAGCAATGACTTAAATAGGTCCTGCTTGCCAGAACAGTCTCGGAGAAATATTTCACTTTTCTTCAAATATGGTCTCCATCTCCATTTTTCTATTCTTTTGGTATAAAGACTAAGACTATAGAAACCTCTTAAACTGGACCACCCTATGCTTTTATGCATGTTGAAAAACATTCGATTCTGAGTTTTATAATAGAAGAAATCAAGCAGCCATTCAAGAAACGAGCAAAACTTTGAAGGCAGCCAACTCGGATTTCATCTGTGTATTATTTCTGTTCTGATCTTTAGGGACCATTCGAAAAGTTCATCAGCTAGCACAAGCACTTTTTGAAAAGAAACATTTTCTTTTTTCAATTTATAATTTGGTTGATTTAGGCTCGTGACAGGTTGCCAAACATGAATAGAATAGAATTTATCATTAGTATTATCTCGAGTATAATGCTTGTTTGTTGGAAAAATAGAAATAGAACAGAATCACAGCCTAGCATTTTTCTCAGCCGACAGTCATCAAGCAAACTAATTGAACATCACCTTTCCAGGCTTCAGTGTGAGATTATGGCACCTTTTAGAGGCATTCATAATATGAATCATTCTCTAAATTAAATAGCAAGGAGTTCCATATGATTTTGTGATTTCCATATGAGATTACATCAGTTTCATTCACAATATAAAGCTGAAAACGTAGAAAAATCACTACAACAGCTATTATTTCCATTCGCCTTGGGTATTAGCATTTTCTGACCTCCATCGAAGTGTCTGCTGATACGTAAGCAATAACTTGCCCATTCAATACCGGAATGCAGAAGATTTCTTCTTTTTACATAGTGAATTAATGACAAAAATCCTCCACCGCCCTCTAAACTTGTTTGTAAAAGAGGACGTAAGCCTGGTCATGCAAAACCTTACTCGTTGTGATGGCAGTGACAGATGCATCATCGAAACGTAGCCACTGGCCATTGGCATGGCGCACATCAGCTGTATAATGACCTTTTGAAGGCTCCCTTCCGTGATGAGTTACTGTGGCAACTAGTTCATACTTTCGGCTCTGTAAATGCTAACAGAAGGAATCCAGTAAGAAATGACCCAGAACATTATTCTGACTTCAGTTTGATTTGACAATAGAATTGCTGATTGCAGAAACTGCATGCTAGTAAAGAAAGATGACTGGCATTTAAAAAAGAACGCTTTAAGCTTTAGATAATGACCTATCACTAATGTACAATGAATACATGGATGACACTTGCAGCCATTTAAATGTTGCATGGTGAAAGTGGAAAAATGTTGCATGGTGAAAGTGGAAACTGAATAAAAAGTGGTAAACCAATTGTGAGAGGATCGTGTATAGGTGTGCAGATTAAACATGAATATTATAAATTGGTATTTTGTTGCGATGTACAATACTCAATGGTCACTCTTCAGTTCCCTATTAAAAGGGTTGTAATTTGTTGAAAGTGAAACTAGATTTCTTCACTAAAGATTATGTAACATGAGAGGTAGAAAAAGATACAAGGCAGTTACCTCTGTCGATGGGGAAACTAGTAATTCCCGACTCAGAATGAATTCAAGAGGAAAGTGCACAGGCTTGAGCAACTTGGCACTCCCTTGGCTTCCATAACTAAAACGCATCAAGTGCAATATCATTATCTTTGAAAGTGTCTGTATTTTGACAGATTTTCTTGCAGCCACCACACCACCCTGTGAGATATGGCAAAGGTTCCGTACTTGATTATCGCAAAAAATGTGCTAACCATATAAATGTAACCTCTATTATAATTTTCTGGTCACATTATCACCCTTATCAGAAGGACAAGTAGTTGGGAATTCTTCTTCAGCCAATGAGAGCAAAAATGTAAATGCACTCAGACAGAGCCTTAACAAATCCTAATGATTCAACGGCTCCTAGTATGATATTGCTTAACAATGTCACTCTAGAATATCTTCATATATGTACAGTAATCCACCCAAACATGATGCAGGTTTAAATTGTTTTCATTCGTTAAGGAAGCAGGGAATACCTTCCCAATTGCAGAAGTCCGGTACCCTTCAAGATTTTCAGGTGCAGAGAACAGATGGAGTGCATCCTCAATAGTGCGAACAACTTCAAGGTGAATATCAAGGTGGAGCAACAAAAATGGTTGAACTGTTGCAGAAGCTTTGTTTCCTGCACCACACAAAAGAAACATTAAGGACACAACACCAGGATGAAGCCATAGGGACCACACAAAAATCCATTCTGCTAATTTTTTTTCCTACCAAAAAGAAATAAAAAGGACAATAGAAATCAATGATGGTCTGATAGCATTTTGATGTTATGTTGTATTAATGTTCTTACCCGCAGTTTGATAGCTTAAATAGCACTTCCTTACTGATTTAATATGGTATCCAGCAGAAATGGAGATAAGAAATGCCATGCAACAAGCTGGCATGGTCAGCCAGATGACTAAAGGAGAGAACGAGAGAGAGAAGCAAGGGAGGGAATCAAGTGATTGCTTTAGATTAAAATGGTTCCATTTGAACCACAGTTCTATTGGTTTCCTTGCCCTGTGCAGCTGTGCATGCCATTATAAGCAGTCGCTAGTTATAATTCAATTTTCATAGTTGACTAGCATGCCCTTTTGGACAAGTTTGCAAGTTATTCCATCAGAGTAATGGGGACCAAAAAAACAGATAATTAATAATAAAACTGTAAAAAAGAAATAATTTATTAGGATCATACAGGGAACAGGAGAAGTACTTCAGAATGAGAAATGAGGAAACAAAACAATTCTAACACCCAGGTGATTCTCATCCTTTAGATTGCCCAAAAAGCTAATTAGTTCTGAAGGAGAAAACACTAAATATATGTAGATTCTTCTAAGGAAAAAATGAACCGAAAGATAGCATAAACTGATACCTCTTGCCTTAACAACACTTCTCAACTGTCCTCCAAAAATATCACTTAACCCAGAACGAATGAAGCTTTGTGTTCTAGTCACTGCAGATTTGTTTTTTGGCCCAACTGTCTCCCATTCATCTTCTTCTGTAGAAGAAACTACAGAGGTTTTAAAACCATTTGTACCAGAGGATTGTCCTTCAAGCTTAAGTAATTCATCATGCATTTGATGCATGATGAAACTCAGGAACTCCTGAGCATCTTCCTGCCTGAACACACATCATAGAAAGAAATATCAGCAGGCTCGACCTTGCTAGATGCTAAGCATGATAAATTGTTGTAGCATCTATTTTCAGCTTCTATTTCATCTTGATAGTGTACCTGTACTTTATTACATTTGTTGTCTTTCCAGGGTTCAGAATCAACTTTCCATAATTAAACTGTCTTAAGGAATTCTACAAAATGAAATTCTTGTTTCTGTTTGCTCCCCATACACTCAATCGTGTTTATTTAGATTTCCAAGCAAAAAATCAATAGCAAAGAAGGTTATGGAAGCAGAGAAAGAATATAGGAGGTATTGAACTGAAGAAAGTCCTACTTAGAGGAAAAAAGGCACACAAGCAACATTACATAAAATGCATGCAGTTCCTTCAAATTCCCATACTTAACACAATCGCTATCCTTGTACTATGATTTCGTGGGAAAATTGAAAATAAAAAGGCCATTCAAAACCATCATATCCTAAAGGCATAATTTACTATCATTCCAATTTTCCACCAGGAAAACTTGGTAAGTGCAGAAGGATATACTAAATGAATATAGGATAGAAAAGTTACAAGAACAGTGAATGCACAAACCTTGGCCGTCCTGATATGCTATTTGGCACATCTGGGGTGAAATTTTTAAGAACAGCTTCAAACATGGCAGGACGAAAAGGCCGACCAGTCTCAACAAAATCTTTTTTCATGCTTGAACTGGTTGGCATGTCAAAGTCACAGACGAACTCTGCAAATGCAGTCAATGTAGGAAAGCCAACCTAGCAGATCATAGTTCAACAAAAGCATAGCTGTCATAAGCATGTGGAGTTTTTTACAAACCTTATTTGAATTTGATTAATTCAACTTATAAGATTTTGGAATGATTAGAAAATTACAAAAACAAACTATTCATTTTGAACAACAAAGAACAATTAATCAAGCTCAACAACAGGTTTTCCAACAAGCCTTACGAGGAGCTCTAGTATCAGTATAACAAAATAGACAGCATGTTTTCTATTGCTAGTGGTCTTATGCATTGTTATGATAATCAGGTCCACTAAAACCACAAGGAATCAAAAGAAAAGGATAGGAAGAAATTGAAATGACAAACCTTAGGGATGTCACGGATTCTAAGCTCCTGCAATAGCTGCACAAAAGGCGAACAGGACAAGAGCGCCTGCAGGGTCGCGTTAAGAAAGCAAAGATTCCCTGTGTTAATCAGGCCACGGGGTAGCAAACTCTTAACAGCAGGAAGAGGCCCATCAGTTGCTTTCCACACATCCTCTTTTCTCGCATGTATTGACGAATCATTGCTAGTCCCATCATGATCCCAATCATTAATGCCTTCACTATCAGGATCCCCATCCTTAATGCCTTCACTATCATGATCCCAATCCTTAATGCCTTCACTATCAAGGACATGAAAGCTCGAACTTTGCAATGGACTTGCAGGGCCATCTTCCTTCTCAGACAAGTGCAAAGATGTTAAATCAATACTCTCAGTTTTCAAGACATCCACACCATTACTGAGGGAAGAACCATGGCTCGAATTGCCTATGTTTCCATTTTCTCGAGGACTTCCTAACACCCCATCACCTTTCTTGGCAACCTTCACATCTTTTTCCTTCATAACTGAACTCCTAGACTGAAAAGTAACATTTCCATTAGCAGAAGCCAATTGCGTATTCAATGTGGTATCAAAATTACCAAAAGTTATTCCGGTTCCAAAATTCAAAGACCCAAATCGCAGTTCTATCTTCTCTGCCGGCTTTTCAACTTTGCCAGCTGATTGCTTTCCCAGCAACGATTTCGTTTCATCTTCAGTGAATGAGCCAAATACCAGTACCTTCTACAGTAGTATGCCACAAGTTACCGTCACTAATCACAACAAAAAATAAAGAAGCAAAAAAACTAAAGCAAAACAATCATCAATTAATCTAGGCATACACAAATTTCTCTCATTACCAAACTTGCAACACGTAAAAGTTCCAAATTTTAACTAAGTCAAACCCATTGATTTTTCTCTCTCTTAACCTCATTCAAGACAAACCCACATTCAAAAACCTCAAAAAAACCAAGACTTTAAGCACTAAAAGACAATGAAACACAAAAGAAGAAAAAAATCCCACCTTAGAGTCGCTCATGTTGTGCAGAAACCAGAGCTTGAGAACCTAGAAAGAGCGAAAAAAGCTTTGAGGTATAATCGGTGTTAAAGTTGTCTCCTTTCTGGACTAGGAAGGCTAACGAAGCAACAAAAACGACAGGCCTTATGATAAGAGTTAGAAGGGTTTGAGACCAGGTCCAGAGCAAACAAGAGAAAAGAAGGTGGTGGTTGATTGAAGACATGAAAAAGATGCAAACTTTGAAGAGCTCGGAGAGAGAGAGCATTTAATGATGGAACTCTCTCTTTGGTTATGGAAGAAGAGGAGGCTTATGCAAGGGGACATAGAGAGAGAGATGGAAGGAATGTGGGGGGAGGTGGGGTGGGGAGGTGGGAGGGGGAGACTGTTTTTTGTGATGGGTTGATTCTTGGTTAGGGTTAGGTTTGTTATTTTGGGTTCTAAATAAAAAATAAAAGAGATGAGTGTTTTTGTTTCAATTGATACGGTGCCGTGTTCGAGGTTTCTCGGAATTTTAGAAATTTTGGAGGAAAACGTTAGGGTGTTCAGAAAAATTCATCTTGTGTAATATTTACATTTTACTCTGCATGATACATTAAAATTAAATAATATGAATATATGAGTTAAAAAATTTAAGAAATTAATATCATAAATTAGACAACGATCAATATTTTTAAAATTTAATTAATCTGGTTCAACTTATATATTCTATACTTATTTTTTTTATTTAGTAACTTATGAACTGAGTATTTATTTTATTTTAATTAAAAATATTTCAGTTTTAAATTATTTTTAGTGAATTTTTTATTAGATTTCTTTCAAAAAAAAATCTTGTTAGTGTGAAAATTAAACTTAGTATTTGAAGTGTCGTGTTACTTATAATTCATGCTATAAATTCGTCTCTAAATACATAACATAAGCAAGAATTATGAATATATATATATATATATATATATATATATATATATATAATATCTACAGAAAATATAGCCCAATATATGTAATCTACTATGGTCCAAACAAAATTTAAACAAGTCAGATTTATAATTCATGAGATATCATAGGTTGAGTTCGAGTTTAATAGAATTATAAGTTAAAACTTGACCCAACTATTCATGAACACCTTGAAAAAATAGATTCACTCACATTTTCGTTGCATTGTTAGCTTAGTTGATCATTTAATACTTAATTTTTTATATCAAAGTAAATATTTATATGGAAAATTTATTCAATTAAATAATATATTTAATTAAAAGAATAGTTTTTTATTGTGAATCAAAACACAATTAATTGTAGATAAAAACAGTAATATAATCATTTTGGCTTTCTTAGTTAAGGATAATATGGTTTTTTCCTACATAATTTATTAGTTATATCAAATTAGTTGAAACAAATTGATTTTTTCACATTTTGTTTTAGCATATTAAAGTAACTTAATTACCTTTAAACTCAAAAGCAATATAAAATGTGCTTTTAAGAGCTTTTTTTGTATTTTCCTTTAAAGCATAATGAAATTATTAAATAGCTCTTAAAATAAAAAAAATATTAAATTAACATTTAAGAGTTTTTTTGTATTTTTAATTTGGTTTTGGATCAAGAACAATTTAATATTTAAATAAATATAAAATATTATTTTAAAAAATAATTAATATATTGTGAAAAAAACCTGCATCATTTAGGTGTCACATAAAGTTTCGTTTAATTATTAAGTAGAGATTTAAAAAAAAAAATTAATTATTTTGATGATCCCTCAATCTCCTAACAATAGGTATGGTCAATAGACGATTGATTTGGTGCTTATGATTCTTGTTATCTTTTTTTATATCATTTTTTTATTTTATTTTTTTCTTCTTGATTTTCATATATAACCCTTTAATTTTTCTGAGCAACCATTAAGTTTGTTTTTTTTAGATTTGATTATTATCTTTTTATTACAATTTATTTTATTTAAAATAATTTATGAAATTTGATTATTTTTTTAATTTTATCTTTCATTGTTTTTTTTATATTTTATTTTTAATTTGATTATTTTTTCAATTTCATCCTCCATTATTTTTATTTATTTATCATGTTTAATCTCTATTATTTTAATTTCTATTTACTTTTTATAATTTTTAAAACTTATTTTTTTATTCTCTTTTAGGTTTTCATATAAGATTTTATTCTTTATTTCTTCTTGTATATTTTTTAGCCAACCTTTTAAACTGATATTTTTTCAATTTAGTTGGAAATTAAGCTTATTTATTGAGTCTATGTCATGAGTTGTATATTTTAGAGATTAGTCTAGGATTAGGTAATTTGTCTTTCTTTTCTTTTTTTTTTTTTTTGTCTTAAACTTATATTTTTTATTTTTATCATTTAATATTTATTCAATTGATAAATAGAATTGAATAATTTTTTATATTTTTCCAAACCTGTATTTTTTTTATTTTTATCATTTATATTATTGGTGATTATGCTCTATTTATTTTTATCTTCTTTATATAAGATTTTTTTTTTATGAATGTTTAAATTGCTCACGTTATTTTGAGTCTTTTTATTTGTTGTTTTTTGTTGGATTTACATTGATAAATTTTTTAAGTTATTTATTTTTAATTTTATCTTTTAATATTATATAAGTTGAGAATCAATTTTTCATATTAGTTCCATCCTTCAATTTTGAGGATTTTTTATACTAGATTTTGTAATTTTTATACTATTTATTTATTCTAATCCCATCATTTAAATTGTAAATTTGGCTAGTTTATTTGAATTTTTTTATGGCTATTTTTTAAAAAAATATATTTTTTATGTTCTATCCTTCCATACTAGGTTGTTTTAAAATTGATTTTCCTAATTGTTTTAATTTTTTTTATCTTGAATATCTCATTCATATTATTCAAGTGATAAAGTTTGGTTAACTTGTTTAGCTTGCTTTATGCCTTTTCTATTTTATTTTATTTTTTAAAAAAAAATTTCATCATTCTATATTAAATTTGTTTGGAGTTGAACTTTGTTTTTTCTGTGTATATTTTTAATTGGTTTATATCGGTCTCATATCTTAACTTGTATATTTGACATGCTTGTTAAAACTGCCATAAATCATTTTTTTTTAATATTTGATTGGTTGAATATTAATTTTATTTTATTTTTTTCTTCATGTTATCACTATTTTTTTTTGTCATGAATAATTATTTAATTAAATAAAATATTTATTTTAAAAAATAAATTTATTAAATATGATTGAGTATATCATATTTGTTGTAAAACTAAATATATTAATTTTAGCTTTTATATATATATAAAACATGGATTTAATTAATTAGATACCAATTAATGATTAAAAAAATTATATTGAAAAAATCTATATATTTATTTTTTTACTAAAAACAATTTATGAAACCCACAGCAAAATATGTATCAAATAGCTATTCTTTGCTACAGTGATTAGTTAATCCCTCGTCACGGCGGATATCAAGCTTGACTTCTCCTCCTTGAACGTGACAAACTAATGTATATCAACCTAGATAAAAACAAAACAAAACAAAAATAAAAAAAATAGAAGAATGTGTCTTTGACTTTTTTCTATTTGTCTTAATTCCATGATTTTTTCTATCACTATTTATTCATGACAAAATGTGTCGTTTTATCAGACTTCATTGATTCTTTAGTTGTGATGATACCAAAGCTTCTTTTAAATAACATACACAACAACTTCATTGCTTGAAATTTCAAACATAATTGTTTTACAATATGAACAATGCTAAATGTATTAATTAAATAACCTTGCTTGTATTATAATACGAATAATGCTAATTATTAAGAAAATATGATTTTTTTTAATAATACACCTAGATCGTACTCATTGAATCGTGATCTTAAAAGTCCCATTAGTCCAAGAAATTAAAAAAAATTCATACATATTCTTAATCTTTTTTCTTGTTATATTTTCAAAATTTTCATTACCTATTATAATTCTTCAAATGGAAAGAATTTAAAAGCTGAAAACTTAAAACCTAAAAAATCACTTGTTTGATTCTTAAATAACTTTTCTTATTAAAATATATTTTAATAATATTTTTTTATTTTTTAAAAATTATTTTTAATACCAATATATCAAAATGATTTAAAAATACTAAAAATATATTAATTTAAAATAAATAAAAAAATAATTTTTAAAAAATATTCTTAAAATACAGAAAACAATCACTTCTTCCTTGAACAAAAAAAAGAGAAAAAATCCCTACCTTGACTTCCTTTAAAATTAATAATTAAGGAGGAAATGGAAATCTTTCAGCTTTTTCTTTATAAGAAAAATCCAAAAAAACAAAAACGGTAATATTCATTATTTTTCTAATATAAAATTCACAGACACTAATCTCCCCCACCAAAAATTATAATTAAAATTTTCCCGATGACTTAACCGCCAGGAGGCAGTTGAAGTAAACTACCTTTCCACCTCTCCCCTGTTCATCACTCCAAGGACATCCTCTTTCTCTCTTACAACCACCATGCCTAGCCACCACAACAACCACCTCACCGCTTCCCTCCGCTCCTCCACCACCATCTCCACACAATCCTTCACGTCAAGACTAATCCTCCTCCTGACACTCCTCCCTCTCTCTCTTGCAGCCTTAGCTTTCATCCTCCAATGGAAAGGGAATTCTGACTTCATGATGGACCCCATAACTGCCAATTCTCGTTGGGCCCCACAAGGGTCTCACATTCAGAACCATGAGATCTTCCCTGGCATGGAGTCGTCAGTTTTATCGCCTAAAGCTCACAAATCATCTGACTGTTCTAGTCTTGGACGTAGTGGGGCACCTTCTTTTCCTTATTTTCGTGATTGGAAGTTTGATTTTCAAGATGATTTGAGGCCTAAGGTTTGTTTTTGATTTTTTTTTTGTTTCCGAGTTGGTTTGGTTTTTGCTGAATTTTAATTGGTTTTTTGAGTTTTTTTGTTGAAGTTTGATTGGTTTTGAGTTTTGTGTTTGGGGTCATGTTGGCTTGTGGGCCAGGGTTTTGGGTTGATTGAATTACGGTGGCTTCTGTAAGTTTTTTCTGTTAATCATGGATAATTAATGATTAACTATATGGTTTTTATATTTCTCTTAGCACTTGTGCTTTGGCTGTGAAAGATTTGAACTTGGCTGATCCTGGTTTGCAAGATAATTAGGAGATGAAACTGAGTGATTTGCTCTTCTTGTTTGCATGCTAGATTAATAGTTTCTGTGTTTCTTTTCAGGAACTGAATTTTGTGATAAGTGATAGGATTTGTTTCATGGTTATTTTATGAGTAAAATTATCTGTGATCTGTTTGCTACTTTGGTTGACGAGAGAAGGAAATGAGGGAAAGCTTTGAGCTTTGACTATGTTGATGCTATTTTGATTTTGAGAATGAAAGACTTGATGAAGTGTGGCAATTGGCTGTAAGATGAATG